CGCGCCCTGGTGGCGCTGGCTCGGCGCCACGCTGCCTCTGCGCCTGGCGAGGGTGCCGCGACTGGACGCGTCGCAGAGCTACATCTTCGCGTGCCACCCTCACGGCATCCTGGGCTTCGGCACCTGGCTCACCTTCGGCGTGTGCGCCACGCACGCTCCCGAACGCATGCCGGGGGTGCGCTGGCACCTGCTGTGCGCGAGCACGTTTTTCTATGCCCCAGTGGTGCGCGAGGTCGCGATGCTCCACGGTTGCGGGGCGGCGAGGCGGCGAGGCGTGCTCGAGGTGCTCCGGCGCGGGGACAGCGTGGTCCTGAACGTGGGCGGGGCGCGCGAGGCGCTGGACGCGGCGCCAGGCACCTGCCGGCTGCAGTTGTCGCGCCGGCTGGGCTTCGTCCGCTGTGCGCTCGAGACGGGCGCGCACCTGGTGCCCGTCTTCTCCTTCGGGGAGAACGACCTCTACTCGGTCTGCGCGACCCCCGCGGGCTCCCTGGCCAGGCGGCAGAGGAGGACATCATACCGATGCCGCGGCCTTTCCCCTGTCACCGCGGCTGGATTCGCCTCGAAACTCTGGTCACGACGCACCCCTGGAGAGGTCCAGGGGGGAGCGGTATCGGTGCACGTTTGTCCTCCCCGAGGCGGGTCCAGGAGGCGGCGGCGTCCCTGACCGGATCCACGCTGCCCCTGTTCTGCGGGCGCTGGTGGCTGCCCTTGGTGCCAAGGAGCAGGCCGGTCGTCACTGTTGTGGGCGATCCCATCGCCGTGCCCAGGACCGACCTCTCCCACTTCGTCCTCTTCCTCTTCCTCGTCCTTCTCTCCCCCATCCATCCCTTCTTCCTCCCACATTCATCCTTCCTCCCTCCTCCTTTTGCCTTCCTCCTCCTTCTTTGTTCCTTCCTCCCTCCCTCCTCCAGGATGGATCCCGCGGCTATCACTTCGGAGGATGTCGAGCGGCTGCACCGGTGTTACGTCGAGGCCCTGCAGGCCCTCGTTGGGCGGCACAGGGCGGAGAGCGGCTTCCCGGAGCTGCAGCTCGAGCTCCTGTGAGCTGCCGCAGGCCATCGTAGACACGCCAACGCCGAGCGGCTGCACCAGCGCAACGCCGAGGCCCCGCGGTCTTTTCTTGAACTGCACGGGGCGGATGGGCTCTTCTCGAGCTGCACGGGGCGGATGGCGGCCTCCTGGGGCCCGCGTGGGCTGGGACTCCCACGCGCTGCCCGAGGCCACCGCTCCAGGCGACGTCGCGCAGCTGCGCCGGCGCTGCGCCGGCGCTGTGCCGTGGCCCCGCAGGCCCTCCCCCCTCGGGACGGGCGGAGCGCGCCTGCCTCCGGGAGCTGCGGCCTCGGCCCCCCCTCGGGAGCCGAGGCCGCGCGCGTTCGCGGGGCCCCCGGGGGCGCGGCGGCAGCCTGCAGGGCCCCGCCTCTCTCTCTCTCTCTCTCTCCTGGTGTCTCTCTCTCTCTCTCTCTCTCTCTCTCTCCCGGTGTCTCGCGCGCCGCGCGGCAGGCCGCCGGCGGCGGCCGACGCCGTCGCGGCGGCGGCCGCGTGCACGCGGCCCGCAGGGCCGCCGGAAGCCCGCGGGCCGCCCGCGGGAAGCCGCCGCCTCCGCGACGAGGAGGGCTGCGTCCATCTGCGAGCCGATCTGCGAGCCGCAGCGTGCGGCGCGGCGCGGCACGCCGCCGCGGCCGCCGCGCACCGCGGGCGCGCCAGCGGGGTGCGGAGGCGTGTCGCCTCCTTGCGGGCAGCCGCGTGGCTTCCGGGGCGCGGGGGAGGCGCGGGGCCCCGGGCCAGCGGGGGGCGCCCGGCGGCCGTCTGTGGGGCGCGACGCCCACGGGGGCGGGGCCCTGGTGCTGTCTGTGCTCGGCGAGGACGTGGGGGAGGGCGCGCGTGATGACCGAGCGCTCGCTCCCGCAGATCGAAGGAGGAAGAACGGCACAAGCATAATCAAACATTCGGAGCGCCGCACGGACTTCTTGGATCGGCGCCGGGCCCCTCTGGCGGCGCCTCCAGCGCCGATCCAAGGGATCCGCGCGGCCCTCCGAATTTTTATGTTTATGCCGTTATGTGTTCCTCTAGATGAGCAACATTTGCTGATGCACCCTTTCGAGTGCCCACTCTGTGCTTTTCACTTGGCGGGCGCCCCTCGGTGCTCGCTCACTGTTCTTGTCGCCAGCAGAGACCGTAGCGCTCGATCTGTGTCGTTGGGTCTTCCAGGCTGCAGCACCAGTGGATCCCGCCTGAGACTTCCTCGCCACGTATTCGGGGTTCGTGCTCTCGCTTGAGACTTCCGCGTTTTTTCTGGGGGAGGGGGCACAATCGCGCTTGTCTGCCGCTCGGGAAGTGTGCTCTCGCCCAGGACATCCTCGCATTTTACATAGGAATGGCGCTTGAATGCCCCGCCCGTCAGGGTCCGCCCGCCCGCACCGCCCGTCAGGGTTCGCGGGCCTGACCCGCCAGTCAGGGTCCGCCCGTGCCCGCCCGTGCGGTTGCTCGGAAAACCGCCCGGCCGTTTTAATCTTTCGCCCGCTCGGCCTGCCCTTTGGGGTCCGCCCGCCCGACTTGCCCGTGAGGGTCCGCCCTGCCCGACCCGCCTGTCATATCCTGTCGGGGCTTACCCAGGAGCTTCAATAGATGAAGAGAGGGCACGCTTGCAGATGATGAGGGTGGGAGTTGAGGGTTTGAGGTATACATGTTGAGTGTCTCGCGAGCAAAGAAGAGCCATTATTCATAGCATGCTGTGGTGGTTGATGATCTTGGCGGCGGTGATGGTGACGATGATCAGTGCGACGATGAAGACCATGGTGATGATGACGGCGGTCATGATGACGGTGATGATGATGGTGGTGATCATCTTGATGGTGATGAGTTGCACGAGGACGATGACGATGAGGAGTGTGAGGAGGATGTGGAGGAGGCGGATGAGGACGGCGACGGCGTGGGGCCGCCAGAGCACCTGCAAGCTGGTGGGCTTCATCTCTGGCATCCCCGCGCACATCCAGGCGCGCCCCCGCCACCCGCCGCTGGGGCGGCCGAGGGGGAAAGTCGTCGTTGCCGCCGCCGCCGCCGCCGCCGCCGCCGCCTCCGCCGCCCCCCGCCGCCCCCGCCGCCGCCGCCGCCGCCGCCGCCGCCGCCACCGTCGTCGTCGTCGTCGTCGTCGTCGTCGTCGTCGTCGTCGTCGTCGTGGTAGTCCTGCTCCCTCGCGCGCGGGAGCGCGCACGGGAAACGGGAAAGGAGCGGGAAGGAGCAGGTGGAAGAGGAACATGTGGAGCAGGAGGATGAGGAGGAGGAGGAGAAGGAAGAGAAGAAGGAGGAGGAGGAGAAGTAGTAGGAGGAGGGAGTAAATCCCATGTCTGCCAACCGTGCTGCAATCTCCCCTCCCGTCTCAAGTTCCCCCCTCGTCGTAAGTCCCCAGAAGCCTTCCTCTTCAGTGCAAGCAGCGTCCCCTTGAGAGGCCAGCGCCCTACCCTATGGGCCTGCCATTCAGGCGAGAGCACCGTTTTGAAAAGGAGCTGCCTTGCATCCTCCGAGCGCGTCATCAGGAATGCACGACGGGGTCGTTCGCAGGCACGGGCTGTTTCTCGTGCGCTCGTGCGCCCTCCCTGCTGCTCAACCCATCCCTGCTGGCATGTCCTAAGCGTGGGCGCGGCCACACCGCCCCCTCCAAGCCCCCTTCCCTGACGACTCCCCCCGTTCACGACGCGCCTCTCTCCAGCACGTGGGCAGGTGGCCGCAAGGGCCCCCCCCCCGAAGTGAGCAGTACAGCCAACGAGGTGTCCAGCGTGTCCAGCGTCATCCCCGTTTTGAACGCAGACTGCCCCCATCGTGTAAACTTTTCACACTTCTATTCAAGAGGCTTACGCCATTCCTTCCGCCGACACCCCATACTGTGATACGTGCGGTCTCCTGTTGTGCTGCTTGAACGTACTTGTTGCTGGTTTGTCCTCCTTTTCCTTCGCGTCTGTTGCGGGGCTTCTTGGGGGCCTCTCGGAGGCCTTGGGGGCGGTCTTTTTCCGGGTTCCTGGGGACTTTGTTGTGGGGCCTTCAGAGGCCTTCTTGGGGGCCCCTTGGGGACATGTTTGGCGTCTTGGGGGCCATCTTGTCGGGGAGGACTCCCAGCCCCCCCCGCGAGTTCCCAACCTTGGTGAGTCTCTCTTGTGTCCCTCTTTGGGCCCTCTTGAAGGCATTTTTGGCAGCCTTGGGGACCTTTTGGGCCGTCTCGAGGCCCTAGTTTACATTTTCTGGTTATGAACATCGGGGCAGCGTCTAGCAACATCCCCAATTTTGAAAAGGAACCGCCCTCCGTCTATGTTGCTGTGGCAAGCTGTTAAGACTAACGAGCGCGGCGCTACGGCGAGATCACAGCTTTATTAAACGGAGAGGCAATCCATCCCTGCAGCGGTTGAAAGCTTTGAGGACGAATGTGTGCGGCGCTATGGCCGAGAGTTCCATTTTGGAAAACAAACAGCCTTGACTCCTTATAGTTTGGTAAACTTTTAGGACGAATGTGCGCGGCGCTCAAAGAGGAGAGCTTCCACTTCGAAGACCACCGGTTGCCCATCCCTGTATAGGTTGCGGTATGTGTGAAACATGTGCGCTGCGCTGAAGGCGCGCGCTCCACATTGAAGACGACCGTTGCGCCATTCGTGCAAGCATTGCAATCTTTTCATACGAGTGTGCGCGGCGCCAAGGCGAGAGCTCCACTTTGAAAGCGCCCCCCCATCAGTGTGAATTTCAAGCTTCCAGATCAGAAGTGGTGACGGGGGTCTCAGACGAAACACCCTGCCCGCCTTACCGACACGCTTGCTCGTTCCACAGGGATGAGTTATATATATATATGTAAACACATAGATTTCTGTCTACATAGGGAAACGGCATGCAGAAGGAGGATGATTGTGAGGATGACGGCGAGGAGTGGGGAGGAGCGGGTGGGTGGTTGGGTTTGGGAGAGGGGAGAGGCAGGCGGCGGAGCTCTTCGTGGTCAGCGGATGCAGGGGGCGGAGCGCGAGCCCTCTTTGTTCCCCAGGAGGGGGAGGAGGAGGAAGAGGAGGAGGAGGGGGAGGAGATGATGGAGGAGGTGGCAGAGGAGGAGGGGGACGAGGAGTCTTGGGGGTGGATCGTGAGCAGGAGCAGGAGGCGTATGATATGGTAGTGGCGATAGTGGTATCGATGATGCTGATAATGAGAATGATGACGAGGCGACGGGGAGTATGACGACGATGGTGATGGTTTTGGTGTGATGATGATTATGGTGATTCTGGTGATGATATTGCTGATGAAAATGATGATGATGATGATGACGACGAGGATGATGATGATGACGATGATGGTGATGGTGATGCTGATGCTGATGCTGATGCTGATGCTGATGATGATGATGCTGCTGATGATGATGATGATGATGCTGATGATGATGATGATGATGATGTTGCTGATGCTGATGCTGAGGATGCTGAGTTGGACGAGGAACTGTAGGTGGGGGGGGAATGGGAAGGGGACGGGTAGGGCGAGGATGATGGGAGGAAGATGAGGGCAGGGTGGGGGAAAGGGGAGGGTGGGATGAATAGTGGCAGGGGGAACGGAGGAGGTTTTTTTGTCGCCCTCGGGGACCTCTTGTGGCCTTGCTCGGTGCCCGTTGGATGCCCGTCGGTGGTCTCGGGACTACGAAAAACCGTAATCACACTGCAGAAATGTTATGAGCACGCAGTAGTAAGTGTACAGCTGTGCAATGACGAAGTGTACAGTGCACAGTAAGTTCTCACCGCAACCACTCACCACGCAACTACGCATCGTAAACACGCACCGTAGATAGACACCTTGAATATCCACCGTAGATACACAGCATGTGTGTGTGTGTGTATACAGCCTGTGTGTATGTAGCGTTTGCGTGTACATCGGGGCTGTTTTCAGCGTGGTGTACTCAGCGTGTGTGCAATCAGCGTGTGTGTACACAGCGTGCGTGTATAGAGCGTGTGTGTACACAGCGTGCGTGCATTCAGCGTGTGTTTACTCAGCGTGGGTGTATAGAGCGTGTGGGTACTTGTATATACATC